CCCGGCTCTCGGTGGGTTTTCTTGGAGCGGTGAATCCGCAGCCTCTGACAGGAGCCGCCCTGCGCGGGTTAAGCTGGGCTTTGTCAATCTGCAGCTCTCTTCCCCCCACGCAGATGGGTGAGAGGAGATCAGCATTTCCAGCTCCCGCCCTCAGAAATGCAAACAGACGGGTTAAAAGGTATCGAGTGCTGCTGGCAGCAAGAATTCCAGTGTTTCGAGCTGGTTTTGAGACTTTTTCTGCTTGCAGGCATTAGAAACAGCTTTCCTTCCTGTTAACCACAGCCTCATGTGTGGCGCAAGGAACACATCCCTTCTCCAGCATCTTTACCTGCATTCACGCCGTCCGCTGCGTTGTTTCATGGATTAAATCCCCACGGGGTACAGTAGTTCCTCCTCTCTTGAGGACTCTCCTCTCACAACTGTGAGACCTGATGGGATTTAGGATGCTTTCTGAAAAGCAAACTTCACGTCAGCTGCCTCTTTCCTGAAAACCGTTGATCCGGAACAAATTCAGACCGAGATTTCGCTGTGGATTCAGCGCCCAGCAGCGTTTGTTAAGTGCAACGTGTGCAGCATTGCAGTGAGGGCAGATGGGCCGGTGTCTGTCTGCTGTGGTTTGCTCTCCAGCCCTGGAAAAGCGTCTTATTCTGCAGCTCGTAGACCCTCAGTGAGGTATTTTCCTCTCTGATCTCCTAAAACCATCCAGTGTTCAATCCAGTTTGGGAAGCAAACCTCTTCTGGATGCTTGACCCGTTGCTCCGGTTGCTAACGAAGTGCCCGGCCGGCGTCTGGCACAGAGGAGCCCCTGTTTGGGGCTGAAAACAATTCTGTGTTTCCTCATTAACGTCACCTGCACTAAATTAAACCACGTTAGGACTTCTCTGAATTTTCAGAGCGATTCAGTTCACGGCCAGAGTTGGCGGTGCCTGGCATAGCTCGGCTTTTCTCTGCGGTCTCTTGTGCGGTCGCTGCTGCGAGGACTCGCTTGCCCTGTGCCAAACGGTCCCTGAGGCCGTTCCTGAATTGGGCTTTGTCTCCCTGGATCCGTCGGGGGATTTTGTGCTTGATTTACGCCGTCCCTGGGCAGGGGCTCGGCCCGGATGGCTGGGAATTGTGTCTGGTACTGGAGAGCTGGCAGCGAGCTGTGTATTGTCTGCACGGCTTTTTGGTTGGTTTCAGTGGAAAACTGCCCCTGTTTTGCAAGAAAACCCCAAATTAATACTTGAAAATAACCCAAAGCGGCTGCGGCTGAGGAGGGAAATGCTTCGTGAGGAACCACTGGTGAGTCCTCGCCCGGCTTCATCTTACAGACAGCAGTAAAACAAAATAAAAGGCTCCAACTCCCCATTTTCCTGCAAGACCGAAAAGCGGAGCCAGGGCGGCTTGTGGTGGCCTTGGCCTCAAATTCGCCTCCTTTTTATGTCTCCCCCGGGGAGACTTTGAGAGCAGCCACCTCCTCGTGTGATGCTCTGCCCCCCGTGAGGGGAGATTTTGGGGTTCATTCCTCGTTTAAACAAGTGAGGAAGCTGAGATGGAGCCTTCACAACAGCCTTGCGTTACCCAGGGGTTGTTGTCATCTGTTCTGCAGATCCCCTCGCTTCAAAGCGCTCGCTGAGATGAAAAAGGAGGAGGAGTGCTGAGGATGAGCTGAGGACGGGCTTTTCTTCCAGCAGCCCGCCAAACCCTTCAGCACAGGAACGGGGAGCAAATTCATGGCACTTGCAGCATTACACACGACAAGATTCATTTTCCTTGCCCAAACCTTAACGAAATAAAGGATCAGTGAACACAGAGCAGCACCAAGGATGTTTTCGCCATGCTCAGGGTTCAAAAATGTGTCAGGAGGACGGAGCCAGGCTGTGCTCAGTGCTGTCAGTGCCAGGACAAGGGCAATGGGTGCAGCTGGAGCACAGGAGGGTGATGTGAACATGAGGCCAAAGTTGTTGATGTGAGGGTGCAGAGCATGGCCCAGGCTGTGGAGAGGCTGTGGAGTCTCCTTGTGTGGAGACACCCAAAGCCCTGGCCGTGTTCCTGGGTGACTGCTCTGGTGACCCTGCTCTGGGGGGTTGCACTGGGGGAGCTCTCCAGGTCCCCTCCAACTCCTGACATCTGTGGTTCTGTGACCGGGCGGCTGGCTCATTGTTGGAGCAGACACCGCTGGTTCTTGTGTGTATTGAAAGAAGAAAGATGCAATGTGGTGGGTTTGGGCTGTGTGCGTTGGTTGGTCGTGAACAGTGCAGATGAGCTGGGAAAGTGCTCAGAAAACCCCATCCAGCAAATTTGGTGCTGCAGAAGAGGTGTCTGCTTAAAACCAACTTCTCCCAGAACCGCCGTAATTACCCAAATCAACGAGGGCCAACGTTTTAGGCTCTGGTTTCCTACCTGGGATGGAAAACCCACTTACAAGCAGAGCTAATCCTGGCGTTACCCTGTGATTCACCGCTCGGTTTTCCACCCTCCCGCGCCGAGTGGCACAGAGGAGCTTCTCCAGTGAGACATTTTCTCTCTCTGTGCTGTTAAACCCTTGCACCCGAATTACGGGGACTTCTGCCAGGCCTGAGGCCTCAGGTCCCTTCTGGTGCCTCCTCCGTGTTGTTCTGAGCTGGGTACGTGATGTTACGGGGTTTATTTCGGCTCTGGCAGTGCCCGTGCAGGTCAGAGGCTTTGTTTTTGTGTTAAAAAATGATCTGTAAATGCAGGAATGTCAATACCAAGGATGAGGTGAGGGAACTTGCTGAGCTCTTACGGATAGAAAACCCCTCACTGCTCTGGTGCTTCGCAGCCTTTTCCAAGCCCTCTTCCAAAAGCTTTTCCCCAGTTTTGATGGAAGGAGAAGAGTTTTTTCTGGAGGAAGCTTTATTTTCCAGCTCGGTGCTTCTCCTTACGCTCCTCTTGCAGGGAGAGGGGTGTTCGTGTTCGCCTAGAGAAGAGAAGGCTGAGGGGAGACCTCATCCCCACCTCCAACTGCCTCAAGGGAGGTTGTGGAGAGGTGGGTGCTGGGCTCTTCTCCCAGGTGATGGGGATAGAACAAGGGGAAACGGCACCAAGCTGTGCCAAGGGAGGTTCAGGTCAGAGATAAGGAGGAAGTTCTTTACTGAGAGGGTCGTCAGAAGCTGGACCAGGCTGCCCAGGGAGGTGGTGGAGTCCCCATCCCTGGATGTGTTTAAGGAGCGGGTAGATGAGGTACTTAGGGATATGGTTTAGGGGGGAGACAGGAGCGGTTGGACGTGATGATCTCAGAGGGCTTTTCCAACTGAGCCATTCTGTGATTCTGTGATTCTGTGTTCACATCGTGCACCTACAGCGTCCCTTGGAGCCAGGAGGTTTCAATATGAGACATAAGCGAGCTCTGCTCGTGTAGGTGGGAATCACAGAATCACAGAATCCCAGACCGTGAGGGATTGGAAGGGACCTCCAAAGCTCACCCAGTCCAATCCCCCTGCCGGAGCAGGAACACCCAGATGAGGTTACACAGGAAGGCGTCCAGGCGGGTTTTGAATGTCTGCAGAGAAGGAGACTCCACAACCTCTCTGGGCAGCCTGGGCCAGGGCTCTGTCACCCTCACTGAGAAGAAGTTTCTTCTCCAATTGAAGTGGAACCTCCTGTGTTCCAGTTTGTGTCCGTTACCCCTTGTCCTATCATTGTTTGTCACCGAGAAGAGCCTGGCTCCATCCTCGGGACACTCACCCTTTCAATATTTCTAACCATGAATGAGGTCTCCCCTCAGTCTCCTCTTCTGCAAACTAAAGAGCCCCAGCTCCCTCAGCCTTTCCACATAAGGGAGATGCCGTTATACGCTGCCGTTTGTGTCGCTGTTCCTGACTCCGCGTGGTGCCCAGGGAAAGCAGCGTCCCAGGCTCCGTTTTCTGCATCCGAACCCGATCTTGTTTCTGTCTCCGCAGTGAACGTCGTGGAGGCCCTGCAGGAGTTCTGGCAGATGAAGCAGTCGCGCGGAGCCGATCTGAAGAACGGCGCCCTCGTGGTGTACGAGATGGTCCCTTCCAACAGCCCCCCGTATGTCTGCTACGTCACCTTGCCCGGAGGGAGCTGCTTTGGCAGTTTCCAGGTACGCTCGCTTGGTTCGAGGCCGTCCCCGCTGCAAAGCAGCCCCTGAGTCCCCCACCCGAATTAGGGCTCAAACTTTGCTGTGGAGGGCACAGCGTTAACGTTTTCTTGCTGATTTGAAGCATAAACCACTGTGACCCTCTTTAATTTCACGCTGGCTGTCGAGCGTTCCTCATCGCCTGTAAAACCCCGACCTCCATCCGGGGAGGTTTGGCTGTAAATTCGACCTCTCTGTAGGTTCTGCGCTCCCTGCACTTGGACCTTGGCAGTGCTGAGGTACCAGAAATAAACCTGTAAGTTGGCCATTTTGGTACTTTGTTGAGAATTAAGCAGTGGGATGCAGCTCTGACAAACTGGTAGAGGAAAATTTCCTTGCAAGGGCTCTGGGTTTGACCCAGGACCTCTTCTCAAGGTGCCAGAAGTCTCTCGAAATCAAATCAAATAACATTGGATCGATAGTTTCTCCCCTCGTTCTGTTTAAAATGAAAAGGTCCGACCTGAACACCTCAGCTCCCAAAATCCCAGCGGGTCCTGGCAGCATTTCGGGTTCCTTTGCCGCGGTGGCTTTAGGCCGTTGCTCTCCAGATTTGGCTTGGAGAACACGTCCAAGAACAACACTTCCTGCAGGGTCAGCCCATCCTTGTGCTTAGGAGTAATTTGGTTACATTTTGGGTTTTCAGCTAATTAATTTTGCTGGGTTGGTGGCATTTCCTGGTGCAGATGCTATGTGCTGAGCTCAGCTGCCTGCCGTAACGTTCTGCGTTGAGCGTGGTTGGGATTGCTGTGGTTTCAGCCCAGCTCCTAATGATTTCAGGATGGCTGCATTCCCACGGCTACACAACACTGCCACCTAATTCCCGATTCGGGAGCCGAGAGGAGGTTTTGGGAGCGCAGGGATGAAGGGATCTCCGTCATCTCCCCGTCTTTCTGGCCTGATGGTGTTTGTCTCTCCTCAGTTCTGTCCAACCAAGGCTGAAGCCCGAAGGAGCGCGGCGAAGATCGCGCTGATGAACTCGGTCTTTAACGAGCACCCGTCCCGCAGGATCACGGACGAGTTCATCGAGAAGAGCGTTTCGGAGGCGCTGGCGTCTTTCAACGTAAGGCTTTGCCGTGCCCAGACGGCGGCAATTGATGGGGGCTGGGGGAAAACCTCAAATCCTGGGAAGGGAAATTTGCTTTTACATTGTGGAACTCTTCGTGGCAGGTTTTTCTCAGCGACTGCTGAGTATTAGAGCTTTAATTGTATTATTTTAACTATAGCTCTCGTTCTCCTGCCTCCCCTCCCACGCAGTCCTGCACTGTTCTCACCTCGGGCAGAGCAGCACCGTGAGTTATTTAATTCGTGTGGCCCTTCTGCCACCAGGTTGGCACACTGGCTGCCTTTCTTTAAACCAAATATTTTCCAGAAACTTAAGTTCTAAGGGCGAGAGCTTTGTATTCTTCATTTACTGCTCTAATTACACCTTATCCTGGAGGGAGCTCTTGCTGTGCAGCCACATGGCAATACCCAAGGTATTGTAAGAATTTTGAAATCACTGTAACGGGCTGCAGGAAAAAATCCCATTTCAAGCGGCATTGTTGAACGCAGAGCGGGCTCTGTTGCTTCATGTGAGCTGTGCTGAGTGATGCAGGTATTTGAGGCTGAACTAAAAGGGACAAGGCTGAGGAGTGTGTGGCTGTCCTGCTCAATCCGACCTGGAATTACAGAACCACAGCATGGTTGATGTTGAAGGGCCCTCTGGAGCTCCCCCAGTGCAAC